TAATCAGTTTTTATTTGTTTTCAAACTGAATTCAGTTTAGAATTACATGTACAAATTAACATTTTTAATTTATACTCGAAAATGATGTTTCTCGTATAAATCGGCAGTTCACCTTCATTTGTTTACAAGCATTATGTAACAGTTTATATTTATATATTAAACAAATCCCGTTGCATTTTTCTTATATTAGTTTCGCTTACCTTTTTCATTAGTATTCTTATTCAGTTTCTTTTTCTTATTGATTTCCCCCTCCATAGTATTGTATTTCATCTTTCAACTACATTATTGTTCATTGTTCTTCTGCAGTTTGTGATAAAACTTTAGCGTGCTTTTTTTTTAAATTCCTTTACTATAAAAACAGATTTATGATTATATTTTCCATTGCCTGCATTTTGCATGTTCAACAGCAATAAAATAAAAAATAAATAAAAAGGGGAAATATAAAGAAAAAATACATTTTTAATGACACTGAAAAATTGGCGAAATTAATACTGTTACGAAATGTACAGGTACGGTAAGATGCCTTCCCCGTAAAGCAGTTTTAGGGTTGCCATAAAATAGCAAGGGAAGGCAGGCTTGCCACATTTGGCGATATGCCATAGACAGATGGAGAACTTTCTGGAACAAATTCTGACCAGTTTAACCCAGAATGTTCTCGAACACAAGCCAAAAGCTATATACACCCTGCTGGTACATGGACAGTTAGTTAGTCAGTCCGTGCGGAATCGATCGAGTTGACAGCCGGGCAGTGAGTGCCGAGTGGGTTGTTCAGTGCATTGAAAGAGTCTCTTAGTGTATTACGGTTGGTGCATTGTCGAGATAGTGTGTTGAGCTTCGGGAACGACCAACGACTTCATATAACAGGTAGACGGCTCACCCACAGAGAATTCGTCTAATACCACGTGACTAATGCTCTTGGGAGTGATAGCTTAGGCTGTTCATCGCCAGTTTGGCCCGCTTTTGATATGGCAGGTAGTACTTTTTATTTCCGAACGAAGACGAAACGCTTTTGAATAATTCCAGTAATTGGAATTATTCAAAAGCGTTTCGTCCTTTTGAATAAAACTTCTATACTGAATGCGAAAAACATATAAATATAATATTTTAATTTAAATCTGTGATTTTCAACTATATGCACGCATACCCTCATTTACATATGTATATACCATAGGCATATTAGTATGGTTAGGCTACTTGAACATGGCAGGATTACATTCTAAGGCAAACTGGTTTATAGGTTACAGCGGAGGAAAGAAAACAGGCATGCAGCCAGCCCGTTAGTTGAGGTTCGAGCCGAACGGCCAGTGTTCAGTGATATTAACCCCTTAACTGCCGCGGGCGTATATATACACCTTGCTCAGCCGATGCGTTAACTGTCCCAGGCGTATATATACGTCCTTCCAAACTGCTATCATTTGCTTTGTGCTGTACACCAAAATTATCGCAAAGTGAGCATCGGCTGCGATAGGGGCATAACGGTCGGCTGAGCAAGGCGTATATATACGCCCGCGGCAGTTAAGGGGTTAACCACTCAACCGCTGATATATCAGCGGTAAGCATGTTTGGCATATACATGTACAATAATCATCTTTTATATGTGTACAATTAAATTTTCATAAATTAAAATTGCTTTATATGAATAGAGAATATTTGTTAAATTTATATGTATATATAATAAATGTGTGCAGGTGTATAGGTTGATTGAATATAGATGAATCTTATTTTCAAATTTCAGCCTAAAAATAGGTCTTTTTTTTTGTTATTTTCCAATTTATATATTTGAAAAGTCTCAGGTGCAGTGGTCTAGTTATAACAGAAGTTTTCCGCCTAAAAACGCTCTTAATAAAGTTAAGGGGGAAGAAAATTAAGGCAGTACTTTTAGTGCAGTTAGTAATCACCATTCAAACTTATGATTTTCTGCCAATGTTTTAGCGGTTTTTCAAAGCATTCACCCCCAGAAACTTGGTGGCCTGAGTCCAAAAACAGACCAACCTCATTTTGGATGCCCTGTGCAGAATGGAAGATAGCACCAGCAAGCTGTAGCTGCAGGTGTGAAAAAAGATAAAAGCCTGAAGGAGCGATGTTGGGACTATATGGTGGATGTAGCAAAAGATCCCATTCAAGTCCGTAGAGTTCAGCAGTGAGCACAGACACATGTGGGTTTGCATTGACTTAATGGAAAATTACCATTTTGTGCCGGAACTCGGTTTGACATTTTTTCTTAACAGTAGCGCCAACAAGGACTAGCATCTCACAGTACACCTTACTGTTGAGGATTTTACCTTTTTCCAGATACTCTTTGTATATAGAAACAAAGCATGATCTTTTGGTTATGTCAAACTGCACTTTGCGATACGGCAGACAGGCACTGACCAACCCCCTTTTCGGCTTTTGTTGAAGTAAATCCGCTTTTCATCACAAAAACATGCAGTCCAGAATCTTGTACTTGTGTTGATATTCGAGGAGATTAGTGCAGGCGCAAACAAGTCTGTCTTTTATCTGCTTCAGTCAGCTTAAGTGGCACTAAGTAATTGAATGTATACATCAAGATTATGCAATACACAGTGTGACTAATGGGCTTGGCACTAACGTCAAGCTCTCAAGTGGTTGCATACTGATCTTCTTCAACAAGTTCTCACAGGCGGGCCTTATCAACATCAGTAGGGTGGCTAGAGCACTCTGCTTCTTGAATGTCATAGTCCTTGTTTTTGAACTTTCCATACCAAACCTTCACAATGTCATATGATAAACATTAGTACTTAAAGCTATACACATGATTTGGTGACATTCTATAGCTGACTTTTTGCGACAGAACTGGATGTAGATGATGGTTCTAATCTGGTAGCATACTAGTTCCATTTCAGTCACCTTGCATTTTTTTTACCAATTTCACAACAGAACATTCTAAAGCAAGTCTCTTCCTCTCAAATACCCAAAATCATTTGACAAAATATGATTAAACGTGTCAACACAAACAGTTTGTGCAGACAATATTTACAGTGGCAGAAAACGTTCATTAAAACCCAATATTAAGCTACTTCATAGTCATAGTTATTTCACAGAGGAAATAAGAAAGATCAACATTTAAGTGCACAAAGATAAAATACTTTTTTGTAAGGATATACCATTAGTAATTCTATCCAGAGCAAATAAGGCAAGTTAGTTTTATATTAAGATGTCTACTTCAAATGATGTTCCATGCAACAGTTGTGGAGGATGAAAAATTTAGTTTTTTTGCAAAAATAGAATAAATTTGCTTTGTATTTATGTATAGTAACTAAATTTTTGTTTCAAACATAAATTATAAAATTCAAAATATATGCAGCTCATGAACACATGCTGGTAAATTTTTGTCAGTAAACTGAATGTGTAAATAGAATAAATGAATTGTTATATACAAAAGAAATGGAAAGTATATACCGTATTTACGCGAATCTAATGTGCATCGTTTTTGGCCAAATGTAGTGTTCAAAATTGGGGTGCGCATTAGATTCGAGTGCAAAGTTCGCCGTGAGTCAACAAATTTCGACGCATTCCGTACTTATAGGACACATTTGCATAAAGGATACAAATGCAGATATGTAGTCACGAAATGGAGGGCAAACAGAGAAGAAGTCATATGACGCTACTTTCAACGTAAAGTATTCTTTATGCTGAAAAAAAATGGCAATAGAAGGCAGGAGAGAGTCATGATATGCCTGTAATCCACATACGGAGAAGGGGATAAGGAAGTTACATCAAAACTTGGGATGTGAAAAACAAACGTAACAGTGATTCTGGCAGACAGAACGGGTGCAAACTTCCCCTTTCTTAACCTTCAAACGGAAACATGCCGCTAGGAGAAATGTTTACGATTATTTCATGTTCTATTTTACGATAGGTACGTATATAGGTAGTGCTATTAACATGATTTTCAATGACATTAGCCACTAAAGGTTAATTCTATGTTTGATACTTTATGTATAAATCTATTGTTGTATAAAATATGGTATCTAAATTTAAATAAAATTATCATACCATAATTGATAGTTTATATACAATCCATTGTTCATAAAATAAGATCAATAAATTCCTCTATCATTGATGCGCATTACATTCGCCGCCAAACAATTTTTTTATTATTTAAAGTTTTAAAATGAGGATGCGCATTAGATTCGATGGTGCATTAGATTCGCATAAATACGGTATTACTAAATAACTATTTTTGTTTTCTACTTATGAATAAAATTATATAACTTGTGTTTTCATTACAATCTACTTAATTCACAATAAGCAGATTGCAAAAATAGATTTAAATATTTTGATTCTGGACTTTTATAGATATGAACAGATTTTAGAATTATACAGTGAGAAACAAGTGAAAAAATTAGATTTCATAATTTTAAATGTACGTAACTTACACAGTATTTTGCTACTATTTGTTAATTTAATAAAAGGCTACATTAACTGTCTGAGAAATTTGATATTACTTCACTGAAAACACTTTCAGTGCTGATATGTGCTAACAAATATATTGCGTTTGATGATTATGTAGTTTTGATAATGTTGATAATCATTTCTTTGATAATTCACACAATGAAACAATTTACACCAGTACAAGAGTTTCTCAGAGTGAATAAACAGAAACTGATTCATAACAGATCATTAAGAAATGACTTTATACGTGAGGCAGCTATGAGAATTGATTATGCAACATAAATTTATCCTCTTACATCAACTGTTAAAGTCATTAAAACATAGCAATAATTTTATTTAAAAAAATTCTTCATGCAAAATCTTTAAGGACTGATTACCTCCGAAGCAAAATGAACTTTTATACCTTTAAAATATTAATTCACATTTGGCACATTACTTCAAAATAACTTTTCTTTAGAATTTAAAATTAGAAACTAAACTAAAACTCCTTTGACTTGCATATTAAAAGAGTACACATTTTGAATATTACTTGACTTTTGGCTTATGTTCAGGTAAAATAAGTGGATTCAGCTCCAATTCCATAATTAAAGTACAGCATGCAAATTTTTATTACAACCAAATCTTACAATAATTAACCAAAAATTTCATTAAAAAATTAATCTATGTTTTAGAAACAGTAAACAAGTTATCTGAAATCATGGAAAACATGCACATGTAATTTAGGAAAGACGTAAGTATTCTTTAACAAATTGATTAACATTAAACTTGAAATTTCATTGAGTATTGAATAAGGCTGTATTTTAATCTATACAGAATATTATGTATTTCTGAATCTTGTCTTAAATCATATTAAAGCAGATGTGAAAATGCTTTGTCATACAAATAAATGAAATTTACAAGTTCACAATGTATTGAGAATAAGACTACCCTTTTTTTTAGGAGGGGGGGGGATTTTTTTTTGCCACACACTAAGAATAAGTTTGCCACTATAAGTTTGCCACACACAAAAAAACTTAAGGACTATTATAAGGAAGAATAACAGCATACAAAATGTGTTGTTGATGGTTTGTCAAGTAAAATACATTCAGAAATTCTTGAAAATGAAACAGTTATCAGCTGATAGAAAAATCATCTTAATGCAACATTTGATCTGCTAGCACATCAAATTTTACCACAATAATGGAAATGTATTCATGACAATTTTCCAGTAGAATAATATATATATATAGCACTAACCTATACTTCAACTTGTTTGGTGAACTCCTAATTAATAAAATTTGCTTTAAGAAAATAGAGGGATACTGCAAAAAATAACAGTACACATTCTGATCAGCTTAGTCATAATGCAGTTGTGGTATATTTAAAAAACATAAACAGAAAAGAGCTATGTTAAGTTATTTAATTAACTGTCATCATTAACAATAAAAAATACAATACTTTCTAAGCTTTTTCCATATTTAATTTACACAGCTCTTGTCAATAAAATTATTTTTTCAGCAGTAAAATATTTTCTCTCTAAATTTGATTTTAATACAAGCAATATCTTTCAAAATGATCATATGTTTAAAAATTCATTTCTAGTGCAATGTAGTAAGAGAAATATGGCAAGACACATATGAAATAGTTTGAATTTTATGAAATTTAACTGAAAGAGAAAATATACAGGCTGGTTTTCATAAGAAACTGAAAAAATTCTGTACAGTCAGCTCACGGTCTTTTTAGTCATGCTTTTAGTTCTTCAAGTATAACTATAGTAGTCAACAAATAAAATATGATAGTACTAAGTGACTGTAGGAGTACAATAGTCCTCAACAGAGTATTGGCAAGTACTCATATCACATAGGCACCAAGAGGAAACTGCATCCATATCCAAGAAATCAAGCAAATCCAAATCCTTCTGAACACTCATGGATGGCTTTCAATAGCATGGATCGGAGCTTATCATAAGTCTCATACGCCGGAAGATCAAGCTGATTAAAACTATAAAAAAAGGAAAAACAAAAGAAGAAATGATTCAAGTAACTGGTACAAAACCCTGAATTTAGGCATAAATATTACATAAAATTTAAATTCAATTACTGTAATTCATAAGTCAAACAACAAAAATCAGTGTTAATTTTCAAAATTTTCACAGGACTGTGAAAAGTTTGTCCTGTGAAAATTTTGAAAATTAACGCTGATTTTTGTTGTTTGATTTATGAATTAGTACTTATTCGGCATGTTATTGTATCTCAATTACTGTACACAATAGAGCATTTAGCTTACCATGTATGAGCAGAAGGAAGACGATCAGTCGATCGATCATCTCTATGAATTTGAAATTTCTGAGTCCCATTCATTCCTTCTAATGCTGCAAAACCTTGAAGTGGTACTTTGGAGGTACCCGTAACAAATTGAAGGAAGTTAGCTCGATCAGCTTGGTCAAAAGATCTCAAGGCTCGCCAAAACCATTGTATCTATAAAGAAATTGTACGTAATAGAAATGTACTGAGAACACAGAATTAAAATCAAAAATAAAATTATTATTTACTAATACATTTATTTTAGCACTGTAAACCCTATTACAAAACAATTCATGCTGCTTAGACCAATTAATTAATTTAACACTGCTCAGAAATGAAAGGGCCATTGAAATGTTCATTTTCATGCTACTCTTTGTTTATGCAAACTGTTTCAATATCACCTAGTTTTTCATACATGATACCATCACTTTATTGATCACACAAGCAAGTCTGGCAAGCAATGCATTATGTTATTGAAGTTATTGCCGTTTTGCTGACTTTTCCTTGATTTGTAAGACTGTATTTTATTTAATCCAGTTATCTTATTATTTTGGCTTTTCTAAACTTTTATGTCAGACAACTTCTATCAGAATGTAAACTACTTTCTATTGCTAAGTTTTTCAGAGAACACTTGCCAGCATAGGCTATCGCTCTGCATTTGATTTTCTGCTGTTACAATTTAAAGTTACTGGCACAAATTCTCGCTAGTCACAATTACTTCATAATCACTTAATCAGCAATGGCCAAGGTTTATGCTATCCATCTTAATTTTGTATTCTGCATTTGATTCAGTTTGAGTATGAGTTTGTCTGCCTGCAAGTCAGCACAGTTCTGATGAGGTTAACAATTTTCAGTTTGTGTAATGCTAAGATCAACATATTAAATACAGTAGTTTACAATACTTCTAGCTAAGAAGTTGGCTGAGACAAAAAGTCATCCAGCAATCTGTTAAAAAAACTTTTCCTTGCAACTACTGTTTTTATTAGATGAGTTAGATGGATTAAAAAACAGAAAAAAATCTTTGAATCCAAAATAGAAAAAGAGTGACTTGGATCACGATGCAATTTTTTTATACCATACACCAACAGCATTCTATAAAATTGAACTATACATCAAATTATTAATTTTATCCTAATTTCATGTATTCTAGCAAGTTACTAAATATTTCTTCATCTAAACCAACATTTCCATGTTATTTGCCATTCTAAGGAGCAATCCAGTGCTATTACAGGCAGATTGTAATTTCTTTAATAACTTCAAAAAGCATGCAAAACTCGTACAATTTAGCAATGCCAGAAATGCACAGAACTGCTTTGATCTTTTTTGTGCTCAGTGGCTGATGTGCATCAGAGGATCAGTGTATAATCCCTGAATCAAATAACTTTGAGATCAATAGAAAATTTAGGGCTTGGTATAAAATTTTTCTGATAATTATTTCAACTCTTATACTAAAATTTGAAAATGACAAAAACAACAGTAAAAAGAACTGATAGTCATTGTCAATAAAAAATACCCAGGTAGAATAGCATGGGATAGCATAAAAGGCTAGCCACTGCAAACAGGTTATAGAGGAGCAATATAGGCACCAAACACACTGGTTTACAGCAAGATGATTTTATGAAGGGGAACTTTAACCTGACAGATATATCCTATTTATTGGGGAAGGGGTATGTTTGTCCACAATTGTCACTTCTTAGGGCAGTACAGAGAACATAGACTGGAATAAATGCAGTGCTGCAGGATAAGACACTATTCACTGATAACAGCATATTCAAACTTCTCCAATTCCAGATGCAAGTTAATCTTGCAAGAGGTTAACACTTAATGATATCTTATGAGCGAACAGATTATATATATGTGTGTGTGTGTGTGATTATGGCAAAGCCTAAGGGCTATCTGCCTAAGGGGAGGGATGCCTTCGTGGAGCACTTTCTAAGGGAAACTGGCTCGTATACACGTTATACATGGGGAAAACCAGATTATATATATGATTTGCAGCCAAAGTATTCTTGGCAAAGGAGGGATTTATAATGCTAAGTTACTACTACAACCAGAGAATGCCCAAATGTGACATTTCTTCATCTTACCTACTTTCAGCATCTCATTTCTAATGAAGTTTGAGCTCACCAATAGGTGAGTTACTACACCCTCAGGTGGCATTCCTGGTGGCAGAATGGACTGGTTGCAAAGGCTTTTTTTTGAGAATTGTAAATACAGACTAGATTCTCTCATGTTTTCTAAGAAACTCTCCTTTGTGTTTGGAAGATTGCTCAAATAAACTTTACTTCTATTAACTAATTTATATTTAGCCATATTTTATTTTATTTTGGCACAGCAGTAATTTCATTTCAATTTTCATCAAAATTTGAAATTTCCTACATATCAACTATCTTTCAATTATAAACAGAATAAGGTAAATTTGTTTTTCAGAGACTTAATAATCTGATTAATAATTTGATGTGTAGTTCAATTTTATAGAATGCTGTTAAGTTTTTAGAGAGAGTTTAATTTCTTAAATCTAAATAAAAGATTAAATCAAACTGGTAAAGCTACAAGACTCTTAACCTGCAGGATGGAACATATTTTAAGCATCCAAAAATGAGGTAATTCTGTTTATTTCCTAAGGATGCAAATAAAGAAAGCATTGTTTACCAAAAATGAAAAAGTACTTTCTTCATATTTAAACATTACCTCATCCATAAAAATCTCAAAATACAAAATCAACTTTGGATAGAAAGTAAATAGTTACTGAAAGATCATCAATTCTAATCTCAAACAGATTTTGCAAATGGTACATAAAATGTAACTGCAAAATCTCAAAGGCATCAATCAACACAAGAAAGTGGAAACAGGTTTCCCCTCTCCCATTTTGCTCAAGAAAGGTGTGAAAATGCAAGAGTAACCAATTGAAGGGAAACACTTTAGCTCTGGCTACTTGAAACAGTTTTATGTGAATGAATAAGTCATGCAAGATTTATAAAAAGTAAAAACTATCAAGACAAATCAAGCACAGAACAAGTTATCAATATAAACATGCCAGTGACATTTTAAAATTAGGATACATATTTTATGTTCTTTAACACACATGCAGAAAATGGGGATGTTGAATGATTTAAATTCGAGATCCCATGCCAATGATAAAGTTACAGCAGAAATGCTGAGAAGGACCTATTCAACATATTTATTATTTTCACGATTCAAGAAAAGATGTACCATGCAGAATCTATGCCTTAATATATTTTTCATCTATCCAAGGAAGCACATTAAATAGGATTCCATTTCAATCTCAGCATTTCTTGTAAGAGAGATAAAAATAATGTTTTATTCCTTTCTCTTTTTTAAATTTGAAGATGGCTTTTACATTGGTTTTTAAAGCAATGGAAAATTAAATAGTTTTCAAATATTTACAACTAAACAAATATTTTACACTGCAGGGACTCTGACACAGCTTATAAAGTGCAACTGTTACACGATTCAAGTATATAGATGTCAGTGAAAATGACAGATAAAAATATAATTTTGCTTTTAAAAATAATATATTCAGCCCCCTATCACCAAACTTACCTGTAAAGAAGTTGGTTGATATTTATGGTACTCAGTATTGGCTTTCAAATCATCAATATCTATATTTGGCAATCCTGATATAAGAAGCTCCAGTTCTTGTTCATTGAATATAGAAATAAGTCTTTTTGGAATGATTTCATAGAAACCTTCTAAAAATGCTTTAAGCTGTTTCCTGATTGCACCAGTCATTTTTTCCTGACAAACTAGACGAACGTATTCATTTTTAGTTTCTTCTGTTACCTGAATATTTCTACCATTGGGCTTCAGATCTCTTATTTCCGTGACACCAAATTCTTGAACCTAAATATTTTTGAAAATATTAAGACACATTCAATTAGCTGACAGCTTAAAGAAATAATTAAATATACATGACTTAAAAAGGTTTAAAAAATATTTAGGAGTATCTATGCATAATGCAGTTTTCTTTGTGTGAATTAACCACAGTATGATTATATCACACACACGGAACAGGTTGCTGCCATATTAATGAAGCGTGAAGGAGAGTAACTGATACGAACATAATACATCAGATCTCATATTTTATGGCAATTTTTCACAGAAATAAAGGTTTTCTCAGATGTTTTATGGAAAACAGACAATTGAATGGAAAAACATGAAATCTGAAAAGGCAAGTTTGATGTTTGTTTCATTAATGACATAAAATAGGTAGATCATGGAATCCATAACTTTCTAGAAATTAATATTTATGTGCATGATTAAAATCATATTTTATAGTACGTATTTTTTAACTGTATTCATATATATGATTAATCTGCAAAAACTTATATGTAATAAAGAATTGGTAAAAGTTTACAATTGGGCGCCCCTTGTTTTTTGGAGATTATTTTTTGACACCAGGATTGGCGCCACGAAGGCACAATTTCAAGATGGCCACTACACAAAACCAAAATAAGAAATCAAAGAATTGCAAAAACTCTGTGTCCATGTACACATCAATCTATTTTCATTAAAATAAAATCAAGAAGCTATAACAAAGTTAAAACTATCATGGTAACCAGAAGTGAGGTTTCATCACCAAAATAATAATAAAAAAAATTGTTGCTAATCGAAGGGGTACCAAATTCTACACTAGAACTAAGAATTGGACCAAAAGAAGCAAAACTTATACTATGCAGCAAACTATAACGTAGATTTTACCACCTACACCTTTCTTTATTGAATCCGTACATACCAGCATTTTTGAAACTGAAAGAAAATTAGAATGCATTTCCCCCCAAAAAATAAAGCACTAAGACTATCTTCTTAAAATTGTTTACAACAAAAAAATTTATATCAGCATATAGTTTACAGCAAGAAAATTGAGCACGTGATGCATTTTCATATATAATCCATTTTTAATAAAAGAAAATTTACATTTTATAATTCATCAGATTGCTGCTGTTCATACTACAGGGTTCATAAACTTTTCTGAACACAGAAATTAAAAACTTTTAAGGACCATTAATGAAAGAATTAAGGACCTATTGGCAAATGGAAGCTGAATAAAATCAGTTAAAGTTTTCTATGCCTGAACTTCACTTTTGTAATACCATCCTAAGAATAAAATAGATCCGTAAGTAGGATGCATATTATTAAACATAATTATAAAAGAAAACTGAGCATAAAATCAACTTTAAATCAAAGTAGCATTGAATATTTTACACTTACAATAGTCGGACATATTTGAAAGAAGATAAGTGACATTTTATTTATGTTTTACTAACAGTTAGCTTCATTCAAAATCGTAAAAACAACTTTGTATTTAGCGTAAGTATATTGAAACACTCAATCGATTTCGAGGGCAGCTAATGGTCCCTCCTCATCAGGAGACAGAAATACCTAGAAAGAAGAAAAATAAAGGGGAAGGAGTCTCAGAAACACGTGGTCCTTATCAGCACTGCACGTGGTTAAAACCGGAATTTTAATCATTATTCGAAGTTCAGATTTTCAGCGTGAAGGTGCAGTTGCCCCTCGCTCCCTATTTTTAACTTCACTAATTTTTCTTGTCCTTTGTGTTATATGTTTGATCAGATAGCCTGGCTCAGTAAAAGTAGGCGGCCAGTGTAACTCTCATTAAAAATCCGGTTTTAACCACGTGCAGTGCTGATAGGACCACGTGTTTCTGAGACTCCTTCCCCTTTATTTTTCTTCTTTCTAGGTATTTCTGTCTCCTGATGAGGAGGGACCTTCAGCTGCCCTCAAAATCGATTGAGTGTTTCAATATACTTACGCTAAATACAAGGTTGTTTTTACGATTTTGATTATCACATTAGCGTGTTTCTCTTCTAGCCTAGTTAGCTTCATACTGGTTTTTTCTTTTGTCTCAGTTTGTCACATACTTCCTCAGACTATAGGTTTAGTAAATATTAGGCATATACTATAATGTCAAATGGCATATGTTAAAATGAGAAGTAAAATCGTAATCAGCATGTTTCATAACAGAAGCTTGGCTGCTGCTTTCCTAGAGAGAGACCTGCTGATCAGAACAAACCTGAAAGTCCAATTGTATGTATGTTTGCAAGGTTTGAAAGTTAGTTGTGCTCTGTCTGACACAGATAGTGCAATAGCTTCATGCAAAGCTTCTGGGGTTGTAATACAATTAATATAGTTTAAGGTACCAATTAGCCACTAAAGCATCAGAGGTGACAAGTTGTTTTGTATTATTTTAAGTCTCACTAGAAGCAAAGAATAAGTTTTAGATATTTTTTTTTTCCATTTTTGGGCTGTATCTTATAATCACAGTAAGGATAAATGAAAGGCAATAAATTGCTTTAATATGTAGAGATAATTTTAAGGCTGAGAAGTTAGTTACAAATAATTAAATTAGGTAGTTAGATAATCTTAGCTTATAATTTTCCTTCTCTTTAACCTGGGAAGATGCACGTGGGTTGTTCTGGCACCCCACGCTGAAAAATATTCGCTGGCATCTCCCCTTATAATCCGAAATGGTTAGGTCCATCAGCAGCTGCCTCCAAGGTCATGTTCTATACGTCTCAAGAGGAAAATGCAAATTCTGAGCATTTATTATGGTTTAAGTAATAGTTTGGGGTGTGCCGACACCCCACGCATGCTTTCGTGTTACTATTTTTCATTGTGAGCCATGGTGTGTGAACGTCATTCTGTTTGGTCTTTTCCTCATTTGACGTATGATCAAGAAATGAAGACTTCAAAAATTATTAGAGGAGGTTTCGTCGGATGAAGATTCTATAGAAGAAGAATTAGAAGATCCAGATAATGAAGATATATTTAGTGATCACGAGTCTGAATCAGAAGAAGAGTGCGACTCTTCAGAAGACATTCCTTGTGATCAAATTGACTATTTTATAGGAAAGGATAAAACAGAATAGCAGAAAGAACCCTTTCGAGTTCAAAGACGCATGGCGTCATATAATATCATAAAAAAAACTGCCTGGCAATTATACATATATCTAAAGATGTGGCTTCACCTATCGATACATGGAACCTAATATTTGAAGTTAGAGCAATTTTATAAAAGTAAGCTTGAACTTTCGATTATGTCAAATAGAATTTCTGATATATATTTATTAATATGTGAAGGATCTACAAAGCGAAAGTATATTTTGAAGTTCATAAAGAAAAAGTGGAATTTGCTGTAAAAAATGGATAAAGGCATATCCTTTGTTTATCTAAACTTTAACGTTTGTTTATTTAAACTTTGTTTATCTTTAACGCCGCAGCGCGCAATGAATTGGAAGTTGATCTGTCAGCACTATCCTTATCTTCAGAGCAGATGTTTTTATTTTATTTGGCTTATAATTCCTTACTAAATGTAGTATTTCATCTTGATGTACTCCGTCTTTCATATGATTTAAATCAAATTCCTCATCATTATAATTCGCTTCCGATAGCGAAGAAAGTAACAGAGGTTATTGAAAACGAAAAAATTTCAATTGACAAATTAGTCAGTAGACACAGCAATTATAGGACTTGAACAGCGGAACTTTGTAACTGAACAAGAAATTATGTCTGTTTATAGAATTAAAGAGAATATATTATTACATAAGAAACGAAGCAACTTAAACAACTTACATTGAAAGAAATCTTTAATAAAGTAAACAAATAAATATTAAGCCTTTTTTTTGTAAATTTTGATACTCTTTAGATCATAATTGTTCTTTATTTCATAAATTACAGTTTCATAGTTTTAATTTTATAATTTCTGCATGCCATCTTACCAGATTTAACTGATGATCTATAATCCGGAAAAATCGATAACCCGGAATCGCCGAAGTCTCGACGAGTCCGGATTAACGACTTTTGACTGTACCATATTTTCTGGCATATACTACACAACTATAGTTTCGAGCTAAAGGTTTGAATTTTTAGGTATATTCACTGTATAATGCGCACCCTATTCTTTAAAGAAACCTAAAAGATACATATGGAATATGGCTCTTATCTTTTGAGGTCACTTATTTGAAGATTTGTCCTAGCCTTTTGAAAAATGGAATACTGAAATGACAAGCAATAAGGGGAACAATATGAGTGTGGGGTATATGCTTAAGGGAGTAAATATTCCTGCAAGTATTCAATGCAGCTATTCAAATCCTATTGTAGGGTTTAACCCCTTCGTGCCGCGTAGCGCAAGTGAGCGCTTATCGCGGAGGCCGGCAGTGTCTTACGCGAACTGTCCAGGGCCCTGGGCTTTTTTGCTATTAAGCCTAAATCCACGAAATTTCCGAAGTATCAATGCATTGTTTAATAATGCTCTATAGAGTATTTAAACGGTTTATGCTTTATAGATATTTTTATATATAATTTAATTACCTTATTTCTTGTTTAAATGCATATTTTTACACATTTTATTTTCATTACTAACCATTTTATGACTTTTAACATTATACATCTGAAAACTAAAATATATTACTTAAAATTCTCTTTGTATGAAAAAATTTGAAAACGGGATCTACATACAGTCCTACGTTACATTCCTTGCACTCGTAATAACTCATTTGCCGTTTTGGAGGATTTTTCCGAGAATGTGAACAAACGAAGCATCGTCGTCTCATTTTCTTATCAGTCTCTTCTGAACAAAAATTTGGAAAATATCTTTCAGTTAATCTTTCAGAATCAATATCAGAATATCAGAATTTCAGAATCAATATTTGAAATATTTTGCATCATTTCTGCTATTTCATGCTCTGTTAAACATTTTCGACGCTTCGACATTGCAACAGTAAAAACAGAAAGAATTCACATCTAACAAGATCTAATTTATTTTCTAAAAACTGAACTGCAAACCGAAATACTCAACGCTTTAGCGAAAATAAAACTTCTCT